TATTTTCTCAGCTAGATGGGAAAATGTTTCCAGTGTTTTTTCTTTTTCTTTTTTTTAAACTTTTTAAAATTGCTGAATCAGAATAATAGATTAAATTAAGCCTATCCTAATATTTAAGAGTTGTGATAAAAAGATACTTAAGATATTTCTAAATTATTTTCACCAAATGCTTAATCTGCTTTTTATTTTTAAAATTTTAATTTATCTTTTTATAAAGTATAGTTTATTTACAGTGTGTTAGTTGCAGGTGTACAGCACAGTGATTCACATATATAGTCAGATATATATTCGTATATATATATTCAGATACATATATATTCAGATATATATTCATAGGTATATATATTCAGATATATATATATATATATATATATATATATATACATTCTTTTTCAGATTCTTTTCCCATATAGGTTATTACAAGATATTGAGTATAGTTCCCTGTGCTATACAGTAGGTCCTTGCTGATAATCTATTTTTTTATATAGTAGTGTGTATATGTTACTCCCAAATTCCTAATTTATTTCTCCCCCACCCCCTTCCCCTTCGGTAACCATAAGTTTGTTTTCTATGTCTGTGAGTCTGTTTCTGGTTTGTAAATAAGTTCATTTGTATCATTTTTTTTAGATTCCACATGTAAGTGATATCATATGATATTTGTGTTTCTCTGTCTGACTTACTTCACTTAGTAGGATCATCTCTAGGTCCATCCATGTTGCTGCAGATGGCGTTATTTCATTCTTTTTTTATGGCTGAGTAATGTCCCATTGTATATATGTACCACATCTTCTATATCCATTCCTCTGTGGATGGACATTTAGGTTGCTTTCATGTCTTGGCTATTGTGAAAGGCGCTGCTATGAACATTGGGATGCATGTATCTTTCTGAACAAACACATTGATTGAACTATGAAAGGATGCATGTCCATTGTGAATATTACAGAAGTATGAAAAAAAAAAAAGGCTCCATCTCCCTCCCAGTACCAATGTCTAGGAGAAGTCCACCCCTGTGTCCTCCTAAGGTGCTTTTCCAGCTAGAAATGGCTTATCTCTATTGTCCTTTTTGTTTTTGCAAAATTAGGATCATTCCATACACATTGTTCCACAACTTGCTTTTCCCCTCCTCCCTCCACGTTTTATCCTGGACTCTGTTTCATATAAGCACATTCAAAATGTTTTGGAACTCACATGTAGTATGAAATCATACAAGCAGGTTGGTTAGAGGGAAGTATTTGGTAAATAAAACATGATTTTAATCATTTTGATGATTATTACCCCATAGGTTCTAAAGGAGGTTTCCAGGATTTCTGAGGTTTGGCCCTACTTAGACAGAACAACCTCTGCTATTTTAGTAAATAAACCTTAAATCTCATCTCACAAAAGGCACTATACTCTCACAAGAAAAAAGATTTCTTTTAACCCTAGCCCTGTGAAGACGGTATGGGAATCTGCATTTTATGAGTGAGACAATGAAAGCATTCTATGGTTTGCCAGGTTCCAGAGCTGGTGGTCACATCCTCAGATCCCTCTGCTTCTCACTCCTCCCTGTGTCCCTGGAGACTGTTGTCTGTTGTCTGAGGGGCTGATGTGTTATATAACTTAGTCTTTTTCTTTTGTGGCTTCTCTCTCACTCTCTTTTTAAAAACGTTTTCAGTGTGTTCTGCCAGTGCTAGAAATTTTACGAGTTCTTTAAGAAGCTGTTCAGTCTGGTTCAGTTTCTCTCTCTAAAAACCTTGGTCGTCATTCAGCATATTACAAAGCGGGGCCTGTAGTCCCAGGCTGCATATCAAAGGTAATGAAGTCTCGGGAGTTTGTCAAGATTCATAAACTGCTTAAGCTCTACGCTTATTCTTTATAAATGTAGCATAACTTTGTGATTAATTTGCAGCTTGGTGTTCTGTCTGGGACCACTTATGCTCTTGCTTGTATAAAGTCATATGTGTTTTCACTAAAGATTAGCAGAGCTGTTCAGAGAAATGCAGGAAAATGAAGTCTTTTAAAAAAGAAAAAAGAAAAAAACAAGTATTGGGTACTTGCCCCACCTCTTGCTCATCTCCTCAACCCCATCCTCATTCCCCTCAAGTTCAAGTGCAAGGAGTGAATCATCATAGTAGGTGTATGTAAATTACATAAATGATGAAGTCTGGTGAGGATTCAAGAGGATGAAAAGCTGCCAGAGGCTTGTAAAGGTGGCTCAGCATTTTTGCTTAGGTGAGGCTCATTTGCATAATTCCCAGGATCCTTTGGAGTTCCTTTTTGAAAAAAGAAAAAAGAAAGCTTTCCATAGTCATAACCTAAAGGTTTCTCTTTCTCTTGACATTGCATTGACATTGTACTTAAATAAAACCACATTGTAGTAGGTGTGGACAGTCTGTGAGTGGGAAGATTTCTGCAAACTGCTTTTCCCAAAGCTTTCTGTTTTCTCCACATCTGATCTAGTAATATTTAAGTGGTCTGACCTCCTGTGATGATTTAACAGCCTCTAAGTGGTGTCAACATATTTCTGTGTTTCCTCTTAGTTCCTGTTAGATGAAGTTAAATTAGTTTGCTTATTGAGTTAAAAGAATTCAATCCATCACTCATCCTGTATTTATCTTAGGATTGTTCTGACTACAGGTACAAAAGGGAAAGAACAGAGGGGCCTGACTATGGACAGACAGGAAAATCGCTGTTGGTTAAATGTTCCCCAGCTTAAACCCCTAGAAGAGAGCTCATCTTTTAAGAGAATGGCGGGCATATTATTTATTCCATATAATTATTCACTGAGTTCTCTATGATTGTTTTATTTATATGAGAAACAACTTTACAGGTTATGAAACGAAAAACCCAACCATTTAAAGAAAAACCAACCAACCAACCCAGAAAAGGCAAGCTCCCTGCACTCCGCCAAATCTCCAAGGCCCCGAATGGCTATTTTACAAGCACCTGGGAGCATAATAACACGTGACAGCAGATTAGACCCTAATGGGGTTTAGAAGTCACTGTTGCATGTGAAAACTGAGGTTCAAAGTGATTTGCACAAGGTGACAAGGCTGGCGGATGACCAATAGGGGCTGTAGCTCATTGCTCGGAGTCTGGTTGTATGGTGGCCCCCAATCCTGGAGCTCTGAGTTCCAGCCTTCTGCCCTTTCCACCGTCAGAGCATTTGGATGTGACAGTTGCCCTTCCCCAGCCTGGGGCTGAGCAGGAATACAGTCACACTGACCATATTCCGTGGAGCGTCCCAGTTTGCCATCTGTCTCGGTCTACGAGACGACTCTTCCTTTTCCTTTTGGAAACCTTACTTGAGATAGTGAATGATCTCGGGCCTCGTAGAAATTGCAATTGCTCTTAAAAGAAGCGTAGCATTGGTATTAATATTTAATTCCTACACTTTGGAGGAACTTGAAACCGCAGTTAGAGGGGAGTGCCCATCTGCTTCCAGCAGGCATGTGGCTCTTACCAGATCCCTGAGAGGCTGCAGAGGGCCGCCTGTCACCTTCGCCTGTGTTCCTTAACAATGTGTGCACAGTCTCTCAAGAGGGAGCTCCAGATGGTGAAGGAAACTCTGCAGGCCATGATCCTGCAGCTCCAACCAGCAAAGGAGGCGGGAGAGAGGGAGGCTGCAGCTTCCTGTGGGACAGCTGGTGTCCGGGAAGCACCGGCCTGAGGCGTCACAGGATGTGAGAAGGAGGGTGAGTGACTGCGTCATCACCGTGGGTGCTGCGGGGCCTCTCCCACCTCCTCTGCATAACCAATGTGCCCGAAACAATTACGGAGATGGATGTCGCCCAGCAGAAGAGTGGTCCGTTCTCCCGAGACTGAGATCAGGGGGTCTGCAGGTTGGAATAGGCAGGGGGAGTGAACTGTCGATTTCCTTATAAATGTTGGTCCGAGGCACCTTTACTGTCATTAACGGGGGCATCTTGCACAGGACTTGAAAAATCTTTCCATTTCAGCCCCCATTAGACAGAAGTTGGGGTGATTTCTGCTAGAAAGATGTCTCTTTTCCTGTACCATCTTGCTTTCTGATGCAATTAAAATATCTCCTGATTTAAGAACTTATAAAGAAGAAACCATACATGTCTCTCTTATCATACCCGTTACACCTTCCTACAGGCACATGATATAAGGGAGCTAATTAACCCCAGAATCTGGAATTAACAGCTTTTCACCTTAATTTCCCCTGTGATTCTCTATAATCTCAGAAGAATTAAGATGAAAAATACCAAACGGTATATATTTTTTAAAGAGACAGACTATCACGTGTAGCCCTCTGGTTGTCCTGTTCTGGCACTGCCTGTCTCTCCAGGATGTGTCCCTGATTTTTCATCAGGACATTCTGAAATTCACCCACAACGAGAGCAGGAAGGGAGTGAGGGGCATGAATGGGTCAGGGGACGTGTTTAAACATTTAATCCCCTCCTATTTTCCCTTGAACCTGTTTCACTTAGTGTCAGGCAGGACATGGATGTAGAAACCTTCAATGCGGAAGAGTATTCAGTGAGGCAGTGCAGTACTCAGTTCATCAGGGCTGTACTCAGTGAGGCAGTGCTCAACTCAGTTCATCAGTGCTGTACTCAGTTCATCAGTACTGTACTCAGTGAGGCAGTGCTGTACTCAGTTAATCAGTGCTGTACCCAGTGAATCAGTGTAGTACTCAGTTAATCAGTGCTGTACTCAGTGAGGTAGTGCTATACTCAGTGAGGCAGTGCTGTACTCAGTTCATCAGTGCTGTACTCAGTGAATCAGTGCTGTACTCAGTGAGGCAGTGCTATACTCAGTGAGGCAGTGCTGTACTCAGCAACGTGGGGCACTGCAGGCCCTTCCCTGCTGAGGCAGCTGTAAAACAGGCTGAGCTCACCAGGCAGCGCTCCTCAAGGTGCACTGAGGAAGGCAGCCTTGAGAGATGCTCCAGTCACACAGCTCTCCTTTGGCATGAGTCCATTTGAGAAGTGTGCCATGCCATCACCCGCTTGGAGACCACGGTGCAATGAGCATATCAGCCTGTGATAATGCTTGGAATGAGGAAACCCTCTTGTTTTTGTCTAACCCTGAACTCCCATGTTTAATGGATCATAGGGTTTTTAAAATTTAAATTCTATTAATATTCTGTCAGTCTAGTGCTGTGCAGCATTGCATTCTCCAGGAGCGTCGT